AAAAGTGATGGAGAGCAGCTAGTTACAGACTTTCAGCCACCACTTGACTGTGAATAAAAATGCCCGCTCTTCCCTTTTTGCCCAAAACCCATTCCACAAGCCCTCCCACCACAAATGGATGCTGCGGATGCGATGCCAAGGCGACCTCTGTATCTCTTCACAGATGGAGCTGGATGCAGATCTGAGTGCGGAGGGGTCGAATGATTAGTGATATGGGCTACATTCATGACTCTGTCCTCAACCTGGAGCCCACCAGCTTTAACAGATGTTTCGAAGGGACAATATCTTGGTTGGAAAGAAAACCCATCCCCGCACCTGTCTTCCAAAGCTCCAGTGTCGCTTCTGCTGAGTGCTTTTGTTGACAGGCATCTGGAAAACTAAAGGGATGCTCTTGGAAGATTCAACATTCAGACCTCCCCACTCCCTTATCCCTCTGCCTCAGCCTCAGTCTTACCCAGCTGCATGGCTGTCACGTTCCAGGAGAAGACTTTGGCCTCCTCAGCACACAGGCAGGTGGTGAACTGGCAGTCTGGACATGGCTTCACCTCCACCTCCTGAGACTCCAGCAAGGTCGTTCTCACCTGGATGAGAATAAGAAGGAAGCGACCCAAGATGGGCCAGGCAGCTGGGCTTAGGCAAAGGGCAACTACTGAGGGGAAGGCACACTATGAGCTCATGGAAGGATCTATGCTGACCACCAATGCCTGTGCCTGGGGCCACCTGAGCTTACACATGCAGGATGGGATAATATGGAGCAATGCCCAATAGAACTTCATGATCATGAAGGAGACTGCTTTTTGCCAGCTCAGATTGGCAGGAACCCTCTGGAGAATTTTGCCTTGCAAACGCCTGAAAGTACCTCATGCATTTCTTCTGCCCATGGTTGGTGGGGAAGAAACGTGGGCCACTAGGAGTCTATCATCTGTCAGGTACAGGAAGGAATACACAGCTTCTGTCTGCAATCTTGGTCTCCATTTCTAACTTGTCTAAAGCACATCGTGAATTTCCTCCTCCTCCTTTTCTTCTCTAATGATAAAGATTCTGAACTGTCCTAAATGGGGTCTCACCTGGATACAGTCCTTGAGGAAGTTAAAGACGATGACCTTTATCTGGAAAGTCTCTCCACGGATTACAGAATATGGCAGCGTCAGATCAAGAAAGAAGGGCTGGAAAACCCTGATGGTGGTTAATT